CCGTGCAAGAGCACCGTGCAAGAGCACCGTGCAAGAGCACCTTGTGGAGCACCGTGCAGAGCACCGTGTAGAGCACCGTGTAGAGCACGCCGGAGGAGCCGCACCGTTAGTAGGGTTTCTGATGCAATCCGACTTGGAGTTACGGGGCGCGCGGCCACCACCGCCACCGCGCTGCGCCACGCCTCGACTCGCCGTCCCTTTTCTTTGAACAGCCGCCCCTTCTGCTGGCGCCAACAGACGCTGCTTCACCTTGGCCGCTCCCGTTCGGCGTCGCGTCACGTCTCTTCGCGTCTTCCGCCCCCCCCCCGTTTCCCCCTCCCTCTCTCCCGTTGGATTACTACAGCTGCGGAAGGCACTCTTTTCCCGCCACTACTATCTCCGACGCCTGCAGGTCCGATTCATTCATCCTCACTCTCTTTCTCCCCTCTATCGCCTACTCTCTCGCTCTCTCTCTGGTCTCGTGTCGAGGTTTCCCCCACGCGAGTGGCTCACGCTCTTACTACGATGATGAGGTGATTTGGCCGAGCCACGCGACATGGGCGATGACTTTGCGAGAAAACGAACGAAATGCACGGCATGCACACGCAATCTTATTGCCTTAAATTTGAAATGAAACCAAAGGCGGCAAACGGTGGGGTACCGACTGGCCCTTCGTGGCTCCGAGTGGCTGGGTGATGAGTAAGGTAGGGAACAGCCGGAGGAAAAACGGGGGGATAGTGATAGCGCAAGTAGAGGAAAAGAAGAAACGGTGTCCGTGAAAGAAAATAAGAGAGAAAGAGAAAGAAATGGAAAAGAACCAATGGAACGAGAGTGGAGGAGACAGAGTGGAAGCGGAGGGACGAAGCCGAGCTGGGAGCGTTGAAGCAAAAGAGAGAGAGAGAAAGAAAAGCAAACACGATAGAGGTAAATGGAAGAGTCTTACACTTGGAGAGGAGGAGGGGGAGGTGAACGAGAGAAACGAGAGAATGTAGAAAGGGGCTGAGACAAGACAACCAAAGAGAAACGAGAGAAAGATGGAGAGAGCGAAAGAATAGAGGGGAGAGGGAGAGAGAGAGAGAGAGAGAGAGAAGGAGAGAGAGAGAGAGAGAGAGAGAGAGAGAAGGAGAGAGAGAGAGAGAGGGTGGAAAGGGGGTGGAGGAAGAGAATAGGAGAGGAAAGAGAATGGGAGAGGGGGAGGGACGTCGCCGACAGCGGCGGGGGGTTGTTCTAGTCTCGTGCGCCGCCGGGGCGGGGAGAGAGGGAGCAAGGAGCAAGGGGAGGGGGTAGCGAGCAGCAGCGGCAGCAGCAGCATCTCGTCCCCTCCCCCCGCCGCGCCCCGCTGCCCCACGGGCCACGGGCCCGGCCCGCCCGGCCCAGCCCCGCAGGCCCGTCTCATCGCCAGAGTATATATTTTGCTGGCACCGGGTCGGCAGTCAGTCAGAGTCAGACAGTCAGCCTCCTGAGCAGGACGGTGCGAGTCACGTGTGAGCGAGACAGAGACAGATCGAGTCCTCCCGAGCCGATACGGGCAGCCAGTGCGCGACACCACGCTCCTCCTCTGCTACGCTACGCCACGCCGTGCTACAACGCCTGCCGAGCAACCCGAACGGAACGGAACGTCAGTCGCTTGTTCGCGTTCGTCGAGTGCAGTGCCGCGCAGTGCCGTGCAAAGAAGTGCGCGCCTTCCCCGCATTCGCCATGGAAAAGTTTTCGTTGACGCTGTGCCTCACCCTGTGCGTGGCCCTGGTGGCGATCCAGAGCGCGGACGCCGCGTCCCTCGCCGCCTCACTGCCCAAGGTGAGTCCAGTTGACATTTGTATTAAGTGGCCTTAAGCGCTCAGCGGTGCTTAACCTCTGGGGTTAAGTAGGAACGTGGCCGTGTCGGAGAAAAGTGATGCAACACCGTCCGTTCCCGATGACGCCGCGTGTGACGCCGGTGGGCGGGGTCCCTGCTGCGGGGTCCTACCGGCACGCCTAAAGGCACGCCTCGAGGAGGTACGCCCGACGCCGGCAGTGGACTTGGAGGGAAACCGAACGGGGCCGGGTCACACCTCGTGTCGTGGGGCCTGAGGCCGGGCCTGGCCTGGCCTGGCGCAGCCAATGAATGGCATGGCGCGGTGGGGACGGAAGGAGGTCGCCAAGCGGCAGGCAGCGGCGGCCAGCGGCCGGCCCGGTCGGTCGCGCGCCAAAGCCAATTATCTGTTCGCGCCTCGCCGGCTCGGCTCGTTATCGACGCGGCGGGCGGTCAATTAAACGGGGATGGTCGCGACCCGAGCAGTATGGATGTGTGTGAGTGTGTGTGTGTATGTGTGTGTATGTGTGTGAGTTCGCGCACTTGGGGTAGGGCCGGCGGCTGCCGCACTCCATGCACCAGACTTGCAGCGGCTGCTCGGGGGCGGCGGGGGGCGTCTGGGGGCGTCCACCCCCGTGTGTGTAGCACACATGTGCCGTATCACCAGGGCGGGCGCGGGCGCATCGCTCGCCGCTTGCTCAACAGAAGCCGAGGAGGCTCTCGGGTGCACGGCGGAGCGCTCCTCGCGCGGGCGGAGCGGGTGGGCGCCCCTCTCTGCAGGCCTCCTTATCAACACCCCCTTCTTTTTATTTTTGCGAAAGTGATACGCAGCTGCGGCCCCCTGCTCCGAGTGACGCACGAGAAGCAAGGAGTGAGAGGGGGGTGGGGGGTGGGAGGGAGGTGAGGGGGTAGAAATCACACAGCGGAGCAGCGATAACCGAAACGGAAGTAGTAATTATGGCCCTAATTAGACGGATAACTGGGTGACGCAGTCGGCTGTGCAGCGGCCCGGGGCCCGGGCGCACGCCGTAAGGCACGCCGCGCCATGCAGCGGGGGGCGGGGCTTGCGCCTGGCCTGCGCATAGCCTGCGCCAGCATCCCCCCACCCCCGGAGCAGCGTGGAGCAGCGAGGCGCGTGTCCCCGGTGTCAAGAAGACCCGCCCCTCTTTGTACATTGTCGCGGTAAAAGTCGCTGCCATCGCCATCATGGCGCGGGGCATCGGATCGGAAGGGCGTGAGTGGGCGTTGTAGGCGGGCCGCGGGCGCGGGGCGGACGGGCGCAACCCCCCGCGGAGCAGCAGCTCTGCTGCGGACGACTGCCGTCGCGGAAGCCAGTCGCAGCCCACTCCATTCCACGCACGGAGTCCTGACGGAGTCCTGCTCGGAACGCTACCGCCATGTACGCCATGCTGCCGCGCGCCGGCGGAAGCTTGGCGGAAGCGGCCGCCGATATACCTCGCGGTCTCGCGGTCGAGAGTCATTGCCTGCCATGCCAGGAGAGTGTAACAGCACCGGGGAGGGGGCGGGGCAGCGGGGCGGTGCACTGCAGACCAACGGACTCCAGGCTCCATTCACTAAGGGCCTTGTGCTTTCTTGTTGCAGACTTTGGAGAGGATAGCGCGCTCCGTGTCACCCAGCGACACCTCCAACGCGGCGGCCGCGGGGGCGGGCGAGATGGGCGAGCAGAAAGTGTGCCACAGCACGACGCCGTGCGGATGGGCGGTGTACGTGCCCTTCACCCGTCGCGTGGACTACTTCATGAAGAACACGTGAGTGATCCATCCCGATATCAACTTTCACGCGCTCGACAGTCTCAGCCGCGCGGAGTCGAGTCGGACGGCAGGCGGTGCAAAAAGCACCCCGGGCTACGCGCCCGGCTCGACCGGGAAAGCTGACTGCTCGTGTTCGATCAAGTCGCTTGTATCGGCCTTTACTGACCCTTGTGTTCCGTCACGCCCACAGGTGCGAGTGCCCCAAGGACCGAGAGTGCCTGCGCACGGACGACGACCTCTCCGTGTCGGCCTACGTCTACCGGTGTAGAACGGCGGACAAGCAGGACAAGCCGGGCGACTCGTAACCCAGAGCCGAGCCGACGGAGCCTGCCGCGAGCCGAGCCGGGCCGAGGCCAAGGGCGTCGTGACCGTGGTCCTGGACAGCGGCGGGCCCCCCAGCGGGGCAGAGGGACATGAGCCGAGCGGGACTCGGAGGGGAGGGGGAGGGGGGCCTATTTATGTATGCCAAATGTAGTCAATGTATTTATATCGTATTTATCACAGTATACCGAGGTATGCGTGTGTGTGTTTTTATGTTGTGTGCAAGAGAGCGTGAGCGAGAGAATGTTGATCATAATGTGAAAGAAAGTGTTTGTATTTTTATGCCAAAAAATTGACGCAAATGTTATGCCATTGACGCCAAGGCTTGAAAGCAGTATTCTAATTCTGATTCGTACTTAAAACAGTAGTTTCTCGAATATTACCAATGGTAAATAGATGTTAGGTGTAGGATTTAGTGCTCAATATTTATGTACAACCAAATATGATAGAGTTAAGGCAAATGGACTGAAGTAGTGTACTGTATGATGTAAGGTCTCCAACAGTACAATTGGTGTTAAGTACACTAAAATCTCAGGGCATAGCCCTCAAGAGAGTACAACAGTGTTTGTTTCCTTTTTAAAATGTAGAGATTCCATTTCCAAATTGCAATAATCTGATCATTTACTTACATCATGATTCACACATAAATTAAGACCATGTCTCAATCTTGCTTGGAATGTCTTCAGCAACATAGGCTTTGCTGCGAGTTTTAAACTCAAGGCATCAGCCTCTGAAAACAGATGTTGAGATTCACCTAATTTCTCCCAGTATTGGATTGACTGTTTGTCTGAGTTCCTTATATGATACCATTTAATAGTTTCCATATTGTTCCTGATTAGGCCTTAGAATCTCTGAACTAAGTTCCATTATTTTGTATGATAGCTATGCAGGTCAAGCTGTTACTTTTGTAATAATAAAATTATTTGCTGTATCCATGTTTGCTCAAAATGTCTCTAGAACTCTGTCAGAACCATTTAAAAAATGTGTTGAGAGAGTTTTGAAGATGGCATTGTATTTTAATCCCAGCTTTAAAGATTTACTGGAAAACGGTGTTTTAAAATGTACCTGGATGTGCTTTTATCAAGTTTATGACAAATATGATGAAATCATTATGGTATTTCTCTGTAACAACCAATTTCTTGACTGGAATATGACAGATATTTGTTTTATTAGCTGCCATATATTGACAACAAACATGTTTCATTTATCAGTGCTCAGTATTTTTATATTCTTACTACTTCAACATATTTTTTATCGGAAAAAGAGATTTAATAAAAGTTATCCTCTCCGTGATTCGTAGTCTTTTAACTTGTAACCTTGAGTTATGCGTTTAAACATCACCACCTTATCTACCGCTAAAACATTAAGATCCGGCGGAAACAGTTTCATTGCTGCCAACCCACGAAAAACAGCTAACAGCAGTCAGTGTGGCCAGTTAGTGGTGTTGGTCTTCTGTTTGTTTACATCCGAACCCGAAACGTTACAAGTGTGGGAATTTTACAATTTTTAAATAAATTGACCAGCATTTTACCACCCATAGCGCACAAAGACAAAGCAACTTTTCGGGGAGCATTAGCTCAAAACAATAATTCAGGAATGCAAAGTGCGTCCTTTGAAAACAACTTAGACATAACCGGTCATCATCATCCTGATTTGGTAGAGGTTAAGAAAGAAGATGCAGCTGCGTGGGGCGATGACCATTTCGGTTTGGAGTACGACGGTGAGGTAGCTGCCGAGTCATCTCTCAATCAAGCGTGTGTATCTACTTACGATCCTATTGACGTTTCGCCCGATGTAAAACCTGACATATCAACGACGTTCGACGATTCTCAACTCCACTCGTCCTTCGAGGAACTGGAATCATTGTCGTTGCCGGTGCACATTTTTCAATCAGTGTTATCGAGTGCTCTTTGTGGGACGTGCTACCAACGTTCTGTTATGGTTAAGTGTGAAAAAGGAGAAAAGTACAAACACGGATTTTACTTGTACTGTGGCTCTTGTGGTAATGTATTATTTTTTTAGGGTAATCACCACTTTCTCATACATGTCAACTAGTCTCCCTTTCACTCCTTAATCCTGCCAAGAATTTAGATGTTTAGTGACTTTGCTTGAGTCAATGAGCAACAAGTTCACATGGTGATTTCTTGTGCTTTAAAACTACTATTTCCAATATCGCAGAGGTGCTTCACAACCGCCTCTGCAGCCATGGTCAAGTACTTGCAGCAAGATGAAGCTGTCAACATTGACATAGAGCTATTTGATCAGTACAAATTCAGTGTCGACCAATTGATGGAGCTCGCTGGACTGAGCTGTGCAACTGCCATTGCTCGTTGTTACCAACCAAGTAATAAATCTAGCCATGTGCTTGTGTGCTGTGGACCAGGAAATAATGGTGGTGATGGTCTGGTTTGTGCGCGACACCTGAAACTCTTCGGGTTTTCACCCTCATTGTACTATCCAAAGCGAACAGATAAGCCTCTGTATGAGAACTTGCTCCATCAGTGTTTGTCCATGAACATACCTGTTATTGAAGAATCCCCAAGTGTACTAGAGCTGAACAATTCCTTCAGTTTAATTGTTGATGCTCTGTTTGGATTTAGTTTTAAGCCTCCTGTCCGACCACATTTCAAACCAATTTTAGAGGCCCTTCAGCAAACTACAAGTCCGATCTGCAGTATTGATATTCCAAGTGGATGGGATGTTGAGAAAGGCTGTCCTGAAAGTGGTGGTTTGCAGCCTGAAATGCTTATTTCTCTTACTGCTCCTAAACTGTGTGCCCAATCTTTTAAAGGAAAGCATCATTTTCTTGGAGGTCGTTTTGTTCCCCCATCTTTATCAGAGAAATACGGTCTTGATCTCCCTAGCTATCCTGGAACTGATTGCTGTGTCAAATTAGACAGCTGACTAGGTATTTGCAGTTGCATATAATTAATAGGCTTTAAAAAAATATGTTTATGAAAATATTTTTTATGAAGTAAGTTCATGTATTGAAACATTTCTGTTATCTTTTGTTTCAAATAAATAAATCAAGAAAAAAAATAAAATAACAAGTAAAAAGAAATTTGTTTCATACTCAATACTCAACAATGATCTGCCAAAATTTTAGCAAGAGCTACATCTGATAGTGTCTTATCCAACCACTGTAGTCTGAATGGTGGAAGCTGAAATTAAAAAACACACATTTTAGATAAAAGACGAAAAGTCCATAGGAATGGTGTGGTAAAGTCTTGTGTATACTTTTACCTGTTTGACATGTAAATTAAATGTTTCTTTTTGAAAGCGAGCATATAATTTTGTGTCTTCAGTCTTTTCCACTACTACACCATAATATTTACAATCTTGAACAACCTGATTCTGATTATTCCACATTAATGTTTCTTCAAGGACATCAATGGGAAATTTTAATGTCTTATTGTTGTATGCAGTTGACATGACTATCAGAGCATGCCTGTGTCGATCAGAATGAAAATGAATGGGGTCAACAGTCAATCCATAATATGAAACGTATACCAAAAACAAACAATTACCTTCGAATAGATGGCAAGTTGATTGCAGCAGCCATGCCGAGTAAAGGAGAAAGGTTCCTTATAAGTTTGCACACTTTGTTGTAGTTGCCATGCCATGAGGCTATCGACACTTCAAAGGCTTGAGATTCTATGCAAGATTGGCAACAACCACCATAAAATCTAATTAGGGGAGAAATGTTGGTAAAGCATTCAAAAAGTAGGACCAATAAAATAATGCCTGCATAAACTTACCTTAGTCTAGCTATTCCTTGATTCAAAGCTTCAGCATTTCCTAAATTTAGGATTAAGTATAGGGCACATATCAAGTGCTCCTCATTACAATATTCACCTTTGTACACCAATTGCTTTTTTGCTTGGTTGAAATCAACAGTTACTGGAATAAAAACAGAATCTTGAAAACAGACTCATAAGTAAATCCATTTAAACATGATATGAACTCACCATCTCTATTTGCTGTCTTCCTAATTATGTCATACATATTCAGGAGACGCTTGATACACTCTTGAAGAAATGACGAATTAATCTTTGGATCAAATACATTAATTGGACTTTCACAAAGCCTAAATGAAAACAAAACAAATGCTAAATAAGTTTGGTCAAATCCAGAAGAAAAAATTAATGAATTAAAATAATGGCTCTATAAGGTAAATACCAATATGCTGCAAATACATGAAACTTCACCATGGGCTTCAAAAGTTTTATGCAATCAACTGATGGAAGATTCTGTATGACCATATCTTGTCGAACAGCGCGGAGTCGATCGGTTACAAAGTTATACCTATCAACCCATCCAGCTGTGTGAATATTATTGCAGGCTATTCTGAAAAAGTGACAGATCAATGGCAAATGATATAGCTTGTTTTAAAGCTCCAAAATTCAACATTAACTATCAGTTATATTGTGAAAGGTAAATTTGCTAGTGAAACATACTCCCGAATGAGATATGACACTGTCATATCTAAAGCAGGGAATGGCCTTAAATCTGAAGGTGACGGCATCTTATGCCCCGCTGCAGACCTACTAAAACTTTTCACAATTTTATTCGGATCTGCCAGGTAATTTCCATTTCGACGAAGGTTTCTCTTTGTATGAATGATGTTACTGACATCTGAGACTGGATGCTCCAGCCGTTCCAATGGATGGAGTAGCCTTTCTCGCTCTCGTCTGAAAAAAGTTGACACAATGAGAGAAAAATTTGATAATTAAGTCAATTTTTGGGGGGGAAGAATCTTACAGTTTTCTTTCATTCACCGGACACATTAAATTACATGTTCCTTTTATAAAGTCCCCATAAGCTGTCAGTTCTTCTCCATAATCCATGATATGTAAAACGAAAGTGTTTCAAGAGTAAAGTAATAAAAATAAAATAAATTAAGGTAAATAAATACAATTTCTAGATCCTGTCAATTGAAATGTAGTAGTGTTTATTGCAATGCAAGTTGTCATTCGCATCGCTATTTCAGTAGCCTCGCGCTAGGGTTCGCCCGGGTTTACGTTCCGTTATCGGCGCGGATACAGTCCCGCGGAATCCGTGCGGATGCGCGGACCTGGACCCCTATTAAGGGAACGACCAAGCACTATCCCTGTGATAAATTTGCGTCGGTATTCGGTAACGATTTCCACTGTTAATTTACGTTTCCACAGATCGCCCGACCGAGGGGTCGACCCCTACCCGTGCGTTGCGTAGCTACTGCGTGGGGAACGCGTGGGGACGCCGGGGCATGGTTGTGCTGGGGGCGCCTGGAGGGTAGGCAATCTTATCGGTTTGGGGGCCCCCGGGCCCCATTGTGTTAGTTTAGATGCGTCCGCGGCTTCTCGGCTTGTCAGGGACTTTGTGCAGAACAGGCCTTGCCTTCTGCTTACACTAGCTTACACCCTTAAGGCTTACTGTACCGCATGCAGCTTTGCCGGCGGGTTGCATACTCGAATTGGGCCGTAAGGTGCCGTGGTGAGCGACGGTAGGCAGCAAAGGCAGCCCGCGAGCACGCCTGCCTGCGGTACAGTATAAGCAAAGCAAAGGAAGGGGTCTGTGGACCACCCTGTATATACCTCCGTCACGCACGCACCACCCAGTTGCGACCCAAATTTGTACAAACGCCAAAAATTGTACTAATTTGTACTCTCACCCTGTCATCCCAGTGAGAAATGAAATATCGATACGACATCGTTTCGACATCGCATGTCGGAAATGTATCGAAATCAGGTACATTTTTTTATCGTTTGCGATACAATTTACGACATTCGATACGTTATCGTTTCGATATCGCATCAAAAACCTCTTCTCACTGGGCATAGATTCAGAGTTTGTACTTACAAACTAGAGTTACAGTCACATAGTACTGGAGTGGGGCGGTGCAAACGTGACTGTCCCCCGCCTAATTGCGCCGGCGCTTTGCAAAGCACAGCATTCTGACCGAAAAAATTCGTACTCTTCGAATATCACATCGACAGAATTTGTACTACCCTTAAACACCCTTAAAATCGGGTTTGAAATAGTGCTATCGCCTGCAGACTCCAGAATAGGCAACCCACAACACACCCACCGCCCAGTGCTGGTAGCAATTGTACGGCACGCCAAAAATTTGTACTTAATTTGTACTCTCACCTTGTCATAGTGTCAGAATTTGTACTTACATAAAACCAGGGCTACGGTTACACAACGTAGTTGGGAGGTGCAGGCGTGACGGTTCCACCGCCCAATTATTGCGCCAGTGCTGTAAGAAGCACCCCCAAAATTTACGGGGGCTCGCCCAGGTAGCAGAGCTGCATAAAGTGTGCATTTCGTGTCCAATCTAAACCGCGCCTAAAACGTGTGTAGGCGCCTAATATGCACTTAAATGCGCGTTTAAGATGGGACATATAATGCGGTTCGAATGCAGTTTGCTATATTTTGCTACCTGGGCGACGCCTGCGGCACTCGGGGTAGGCCACCCCGCGGTGCACGTATGCACTGCATGCAAGATGTTGCCTGCCTATCAGGCGCTATGAGGCCTGGCGGGGGGGATGTGAATAAAGTACAGTGGGATTCACTGTCCAACCATGCTCCAAGCGACCCGAATCTAGCTAGAAAAAATTCAAAATTATTTGGAAATGTTGTGGTCCCGCCTCTCAGTGAGAGGCCTTTCACCCTTTCCCTCGGCCTCTTCATCCATGGAGTCAAGCCAGTGGCTTGACTCCATGCTTCATCCATCTTCCCCCGTCACTCTTCGGTGTGTGCAGCGTCAGATTTTTCATCCTATTCGCTCACTCTTTTCCTCTGTCCTTTTAACTGACGTACTGGTACTTGCTCTGCCACTGGTTTTTCGGGATATCGTGTGAAAAGAAACTATTTCTAAAATGTTTAAGAGACTCATGAAGTAAGTGCACACTGCTTTACATTATTAATTTTCAACTTGACGACATGTCGCGTACCTATTCCCGTTTTGTGATTAAAATGCGCCTGTGTTAAGGTTATGATGCCTCTGTAGAGAACTTTGGAGTATTGTTTTTCTGTAAGAACACAAAGTTCATTATTTCCAGAGTTGGTATTAAAGCCAGCATCTTGACGAGTGCTGTATATTATACCATTGACCAAGGTCTTTGGGAAGATACAGACCAGGCAGACAAAATATATTCTGACATCTATCAAGCTGTCGCACCATACGTCAAAGACGTTCCTGTTGAGGTAATTCATTTTCAGCATGTAATTTAAAGTAGCTTAACAATCTTTTCTAATGATTGCTTTGTGTAGGTTCCAGAACTGCCCTCCTTATCTGATTTTGCTGCTTCATCTAAACTGTATTACAACCAAGGAGTTATTGCCACTGGAAATTTCTTTAAAGACTTACCATCCAATACTGCATCTGTAGCCGGAGATCTGAAATCCACTTTATCAACTCTATTAGATGCACCGCCATCTCAAGAAAATTCAGCAGACAGCACCTCTGGCAAATCATGAATATAGTTTTACTCAATTGTAGATTGCAGTGATATGTGCATTTCCTTGGAATAAAACACACCTGAAGTTGTACAGTCTTTAAGAAGGAATAAATAGTGATCTGTGATAAACCCAGCTTTACTTTTCAAGAAAACATTTAATTGCAAGATACTCAACACCACATTTATTATAAACACTGAGTCCTATGGCACCTTTAGCACCCTTCTTGCAAAACATTCAATCATCCATAACAATTTCTTAATAAATAACTTGTCTCCCTCTTTCTTCGCAATGTAATAAGTAGAGTATGCACTACATTTTTTGAGACATGAAAACTACAGCTACCATGATAAATTTGAGAACTTTTGATTGAAAAACATCACAGATTATAATTCTATAACAAAGCAGGCGCGTAGCCAGGAGTTCATTTAGGGCATATGTAAGTAAGGACAGCTCGTGCTTAAGACGCTGTCCTTTTGGGCTGATAATTGGTGGACATGTTCCTCAATTGAATTGAAAAAAAAAGGGCCACAAAGCATTTAGCTGAGAAAAATTTACTTGTCAAAATTGATGAAATTTCAAAAATGTCTTGGGGAAAATACAGGTATTTCCCTTACAGAATTCACCCAACCCTGGTAGCACGAATCGTTCTAGGAATGTTCGCTGAACGTTCAGGGAACCTAAAAAATGACATTCTGGGAATGTTCTTGGAAGGTTTGATGCTACAATGGAATTTCGTACCCTCTGAGCCTAATGCCAATTGTAAGGTAAATTTCTGTATCAACAGTATTTGAGGTCCGATCTCGGACTTCTTTATCTTTTTGGAACATTTAGAAATGAGATAATACAAATTTCAGGAGAAAATAGTTTTTGGATCACAGGTCCGTCTGAGGCACAAGCTGTCCTTATTTACGTTTGCTATGATGTACTTTTTGCCTACATACAGGCGAATTGCACAGCAAATTGCGTACCCACAAGACGTTTCGGGGAAGTCTAGACCTGCGTGACTGGTCTGCCCTCTGGCTAGACGCCTGATAACAAATACAGTTCAGCTAACAAAATAAATGTGACAGGAAGACATGGTGCAAAAATACCTAAAGTATAAGACGTGCTCCCCAAAGAATTCAATATTAAATTGAAATCTTTGAATTTTAGATGGAATGGCACACAACACAATACATGTAAAGACTAACTTCAGATCAGGCTAACTGCAGTTGCATAAAATTAAGAATCTGAGCCAGTCTTTGAGCTGCATGCAAGAACCTAGAGACAACTTGTCTTATGAAAGAACTAATTCACAAAACATAAGTTCAAACCTAGATTGTTCACTGCAAAGACAATAAAATATTTAATAAATGATGAGTACTTTGAAGCTAGCATGAATGAGCAAGAAATAGCAGATGACAATTTTACAGGAGCAGCCAAAGACGACTAGTAATCTAGCTAGTAACAATCAATTGATATCATACATTGCTCTAGAAATAAATCAATAGAAAACATAAATAAACAAGTACATGAGATGGTACAATATGACACACCGTATCAAGCACTTAAAAAAGGGGGGGAAATATTCTTTGGCAGTGAGTCACTGACTAATGGACCACTTATATCCACAAAACCACACTTAATACAATCATTCACTATGGTAATGTAGTGGGAGAACTAAAAGAGAAGTTTTTTACTGGAGTAAACAATCACAGTTTCCAACTGAAAGCACAAGACAAATTTCAAATTGCATTAAAACTGGAGTGATGACAAAAACTAAAGTGAAACACATCAAACTTACTTACAAAATTGCTTTCAATGTGGGAGTGGAGTAAATGAAATCATTTCATATCATAAAAGTGTAGAACTTTCAATGTGGATAAAACAAATAAAAGAAATAAAACTCTTAAGCCTCATAAACTACGTAAATAAATTTTAGAAATAATTTAAAAATATGAATACTTCAGTGAAAAGAACAGAAAATAAGGTGCTTTGTAAAAATCAAGTAAATAAAATCTGGTGAATAATGCCATAAGAAATACTAAATACTGTTATAGAAAATTTGTACTAGGGACCACATATATCAAGTAAAGGAATGGAATAAACACATCACAACTGAAATGTACAAAGCGAGCAGTCTAATTTCTATTCAACCTAAATGGTCAACTGAATAGAAAAGAAAAGTAAGTAGGGCCCAACAGATAAACAATATGCTTCAGCACATTTTAGAGAAAAATACAAGTTGTCTTGAAATAAGAAGTACACATCTAATATCTATGTAAAAAATAGACACAATAGTGAAAACGGTACAAATAACAACAAGATAGCAGAAATAAATTATTCAAGAAGTTTAACAATTCTAATCTAGTATGTTTCTGGGATTTATTTGGGGGGGGGGGGGGGGGGGGGGGGGGGGGGTATGTACACATTGATACTTACAGAGTTGCATCCAAACCAGAATTCAAAATTGTTATACACCAATAACTGAACAAAGAAATAATGTTTGCCCAAGAGTCAAAACAATTCCATATGAAACCAAGCATTTGTATAAGATAACATGGTACAATTTGCTTTTGCCTTCTTTGAGAATAACAACTCTTTTGTGATGTGTGTGGAAATTCGTGTACCTTTGACAGTGAGAATTATGGAATGTGCTGTAAATATAACTACAGACAGTATTTACAGCCAAAAAGAGAAACACTTTTGATGAGAAAAATCCATGAGCTGTAAACCAGCACAAAGTGATCTCTTCAAACCCAAACACCATGGGGATTTTTACTGGTTGGAACAGCATTCTCAAGCTGGCGAGGGGATCCAATCATCTTGCGTGTACTTCCAGGTTTGTGTGGACCTAAAAAATTAAAACTGAAGTTTAGAATAAAAAATCGCCATTTTTAGAGGGCAGGGACTGTAACTTGAAGAGACTGTAACCTAAAAGCAACTAAATTAGGCTAACAAACTATGACTTTAGTGAGTACATTCTTACCAAGACAAAATGTAGATCCTGAGGACCAGCAAAATGTAAAAATAATAATGAAGACATCACAACAAGTAATACACATTCCAATTTCTTGGAATAGATTAGATTAGTTATTTTTCAGCTACCTCAATATCTATCTATGCTCACCTTCCAATAAATGCTTCAATTCTTCAGCAGGAGCTATTGCTAGACTTTGTAGATTAGCTTCTTTCATTTCTGCAACTAGCTGCTCAACTTGCTGTTTCTTATCTGATATGGCAGACTCTAAAGCAGCCACCTGGAGAGAATAACCACAATCAAATTTTGCTGCACAGAATAAAAATTAATATAGGCAGGTACACCAACCTCTCTATGCAAGTCTTCACCACACTGCGCTGATTGTTCAGATGACTGCTTTGCTAGATCAACCTGACGTTGCAATCTTTCTACCTCAGATAATAGTGATCGTTCTAGCTGTTGTCGATTTTCTTTTTCAGAATGTATTGCTCTTTGTTCCATTTGAGTTTCTTCAGCTAGTAGTCTGTGCAGAGGTAAGCCTACATCTTTGAGCAACAAATGATAGGGCATTTATTACAAAATTAATCTACTGGTTGTACTTACCTTATTTTGTTCTTACACTGCAGTAACTCAGTTTCACAATTTGCTAGCTTTGATCGTAGTAATGTTATTTCTGACTTAAGCGTTTTCTCTTGTTGGCGAACTAATTCACTTTCCTCTTCAACATGGCTTAGTGCTCGTATCTAGGTTAATATATACAGATAGAGAATCAGATGGTTAAAAACAGTTATGGATTCAATGTGTAGTAGATTAGAAAATTAAATGATTTACCTGTTCTTCACTTTGACGGCTCTGAGCTTCAATTCTTGAAGTTTCTTGAGCAATAAGCTCCATTTGCCTCTTTTGTTCCTGGGATTTTCCTTCCCAGAATACAATTTCAGCGTCAAACTGAAATATTGGACCAAGTTCGACTGTTTTACAAGTTTTACAGGTGTTTAGAAAACCATCTAACTAATTCGAGTACCTTTGTTAGTTCTGCTTGTTGTGATGATAGCTTTTCTCGCTGATAGTTGACAAGACGAATCAGCTCTCGATACTGTGCATTGTAAAGCACAGTCTCTTGATGAGACTCAGTTTCTGTGGCAGATTGAGTGGTGGGAAAGTCCTGAAAGAACATTTGTGAAAATAGATAAGTAATTGAAAAAGATCAACCAACCCTGTTACAACCTCTATAAGGAGGAAAAACAAATTACTTTTAAAATATTCCTCCTTGGTTTGCTGGCAGATGTTGGTGGGTGGGATGGTTGCAAGGACTGAGCTGGTCGTACAGGGCTTTGAGTAGGAGGTGGTGGATCTCGGTAAGGGGGAAGAGGTAAGGGTGCAGCAGAGCTACGTGACTGTTGAACAGGTGGACTAGCAGCAGCAGCTGCAGCGGCGGCGGCAGCAGCGGCGGCAGCAGCAGCAGCAGCAGGCCCTGGTGGAGGAGCTCGATATGGTGGAGCCTCCCTCTCCCTTTTGGTCCCATGAGGAGTAGGAGTTGACATTGTCTGCTGTTGAAGTGACTGCTGGATATGGTGACTTTGGCTATTGTTCTCAGCAGTTCGAGACTGACTCGGTGAGGAAGTGGCATCCACACTAGATTTAGAAACTGAAGCATCCTGAATAATAATAAAAATTATTAGCTCTCTCTACAAAGATAAAACACAGGGGCAAAAAAGAGAATGCCCAAAAAGCCGTGGATTTTGTGACACATCATGTGAGTCACATTCAACAGTTTTAGACAAACACAAGATGAACCTCAGTCTGAGATACATAGAGTGGGGCTGGTCTATTGGACAAAATGCTGTGACACATGGTGTTTGTCACATTCCACTCATTGAGTTAAAAGAGTGATAAAACTGGGTTTTAAAATCGTACTTGTGAAATAACAGTTGACCTCCTTTCTGTTAGGGATTGTGGATGATGGCCACCAGAGAAGGTAAGCGATTTTCGGATGTCTTTGTTTCGTTCAGGAACCATGCCAAAACTGAAAATTATACAAAATAAACTCAGATAAATTTTTCTTTCAATAGATGTTCCAAATCCATTTCTATATATATACATATATATATTCAATACCCAGAATGTCTAGAGTCTGGTGATTCTGATGGGGATGGAGAAAACCCATGCAAAGGATCCGCAGCTTGAGTTTGTTGAGAAGAGCCTGTTAGAGATTGCTGGACGCCTCCTGATCTTTGAAGTATTAACTGAACATCATTGGAGTATTCACCCCACTTCATAAGAATCTGCAAAATTTATGGGTAGATAGAAAAAAACACTTAAATGAAAAAGGAAGCTTTTAAAAATGATGAGAAGATGAGGAAAGAACCTTGAGTGGGTGTTCATGAGGGGCAAGAAGTCTCTCGTTGTTACGCCATCTCTCTATGAGAGTAAAGCGTCCAGTTTTTCCAGTGGCATGAGCGAGTGCATACACAACATCCTGAGGAAATAAGTAAAAGAGTTAATAACCAGAAGTTGAAGAAAATGGCTAAAATCAAAGTGAGTAGGAACACTAACCTGACAAGTAGTAGTCTCAGTCACACCACACACAATTCTTTGTATGCCTTCCACCCAAACTTTAAGTTCCATTATATTAAAAAGCAAAGAAAGGAGAAGATCATAAAACTGTAGGACCTACATCTGCAATCGAATTGTGGGGATAACACACATTAGGTACTGTTAAAATCGTAGCTTCAAATATAAAAGAAAACAAGCAAATGTCATACACCATGACCGATACTTGCAGAAAAGTTCTCCCAAAGTAATCAAAATTTAACATCATTTCTAGATTTTTAAATTACAAAAATACGAAAAGCAAGTAAAACTTAAGTAACCCTTCAAAAACAAAAAAACAAAAAAGTGACAGCTAACCTGTTTGATAACTTTCACCTTTCTGGTTTGGTCCAATTGATAATCAGCACGGACTTCAGATTCGTATTACATACTTAATAGCTTATTGGGAACCGATAGATTTTTAAAAGAAAGGGACAGGAGGGCAACGTTTGGTGCTGAGGGCATTTAAATACAGGGGGAGAGGACATACCCTACATTTTCGCACGTCTGCTGATTGACTTTCCCACAGTGTAATTATGTCTCTTTTTGTATAAAACTGAAATAAATTAATGTGATAGCAGAGATCACCTAAAACACTTACTTGAATAATCGACACCGAAATTGTTACGATTGGTGCACGGCACACCAAAATTCTAGTAATCTACATATGTACGTCTGGTTAGATCCTCAAAACAGTAAACAAATTACGGTACGGGACGGACGGCGGACGGGGTACGGGTAGTTTTCGGTGGGTGGGTGGGTATGGTCAAAAATTCGCTCCATTCGCTCCAACAAAACCAGACCCACCTTACTCTCCTGCGGACGACCCCCAGCACGACGTATTCGATAAAATACCTCATAGGCTTCTTAAATGTTGTTCATAGTTTGGAAACAGTTAGACGTTTGTTTACAAATAGTAGTAATACACGCATTTAAGTGGGCAAATAAGACCGGACCTTTCAGTTGAAGTTTTTCATATTGTTATCGTAGCCTCCGTAACGGAGCTCCCGCCAATCTCAGATACGGTCTCCAAAATTTTCGTTTCGTTTCGTTTCGTGTTCGTGTTTCTTGTTTGTGTTTTGCAAAAAGAGGTGCAGGAGGAAAGCGAGTTGTTACGCTTCGCCTTATTTATTGTTTACTTCATCGTCAGGGTCTCATAGCACCATGAAGTCTTTTGGTTTAAGTATGAACAAACATGTGGAGTCTAAACGTGACTCCGATGCGGCTGTGGAACTTGAGAGCCAATTTATATTACGTTTGCCTACGGTAAGTAGGGTTATGTTGAGTGTTTTGACATCTAGGTTTTACTAAGATCTTGTAATGAACATGACAAGATTTTGACCATTTTATTTGTCTTGTACAGTTTTACATATTTTCATTGCTGCTATCGTTTTTATTTTCTAAATTTCAGGAACCTGCTAAAGTCCTCAGAGAGGCCATTCGAAGTGGTTCTATGAATCTGAAAGACAGGCTTTTCATTAAGCTGGAACATGATTTGAGATATGGTGAAGTACGATTGGATCATTGGTTAATGCATGCCAAGGTTTGTCTCTGAAACTTGCTCACTCTGACTGGTTTAGTAGGTGTGTCATTCTCAGAATTTCAATATTTTTCATCAGCTTGTCGATTTGCCTACCATTACTGAGTCAATGAAGACTATTGATGGAAAGAATTTCTACAAAACTGCAGATATATGTCAGGTGGGAACTTGATTGCACCCATCTTGTTTTTTGAATTTTCGTCCTTTCAATAATTGTAACAATTCTATCTAATGTTCAAAATTGCTTTGATTTTTAGATGCTGATTTGTAAAGAAGAAGATGACCAAACCACTACAGATGAAGAGTCACCTGCTAAGAAGAAGAAAGACCCTCACAAAGTGGAAAAAAAGTTTTTGTGGCCTCACGGATTAACCCCTCCTCTTAAAAATGTTCGCAAACGCCGTTTTCGCAAGACACTCAAAAAGAAATATGTTGAGGCTCCAGAAATTGAAAAAGAGGTGTGTTGAGCTGTGTTTGTAATATCTTGCCTTTGTGATCCATCCAATGTAATCTTCTGGTACCTTAATTTTCTTAGGTTAAACGCCTCTTACGAGTTGATAATGAAGCTGTAAAAGTTACCTGGGAAGTAATTAGTGAGGAGACAGACAAGCCTAAGCAAGGTAGTGGGAAAGGAGATGGTAGCAGTCGAAGGGGTGGTGCATCTTTGGAAGGAAATACTCAACATAGTGTGGATGTTGGCAAGTCATATTTATTTTTTTCAGTACAAATGTTAACATTTATCCTTCTAACATATTTCTGAAGACCTCATTTTTTTAATGTACTCATCTCTATTTCAGCTGAACATGACATCTTTGGAGAAGCTCTCAGTGACTCTGATGAAGAAGAAACTAATATCAATATCATGGAAATGGAAGATGATAACAGCCGACTTTCAGCAGATGATAGTATGCATACTATGGATTCTACCTCAATTCAGGTACTTGTTTGTCTTTAGCAGTAAATCCTACAGTGTAGTGTAGAAATGAACCAATGTTACCAATTAATTTTACTTTTGGTCCAGGCTACACATAGTTCTGAGAAACAACCTCTCGTCACCCAGTTTAGCCGTGAAATGTTCAGTGGGCAAGATGACAACAGACACAGTATTGGTATCAAACAGGAACATGCAAGAGAACATGAAATTGAAAAAGATTTTGATAGATCTTTTGATATTGACAATGAACAAAGTAGTGTTATGATGAAAGAGGAGTCTACTATGGATTATGATGATGATGATGACCATGATGAAAGTACTGACCATCCCAAAGATTCCAAGTTTAGTATGGAACTTGAGAGCATGTCTAGTGACTCCAAAATCTTTATGCAACGTAAGTCTTTGATACACTCCAATTTTCAGTTCATGTTAGGGTACATCTACTAATGGGTATCTCTCTCCTTGTGTAGGACGTTTGCGAAAAGAGCAACTGGAAGCAGAACTACCTGAGTTACGTTTAAGATGTCAACAGCAAGAGCTGGAAATATCTAATTTGGAGAACCAGGCTTTACGCCAAAGGTTCCAAGAGAAGCTGGACAACATGCTATCCGAGTTACTTCAAAAGGAGCAGGAGGTGAGTAGCTGTTCCACTGGATGTATCTCAGTTCCTGTCTTATACTGGTACTTGAAATTTACTTTGTGTATTGTTCTCATTGTTTACAGTATCAAGAATTTTGCCAAGATTGAAAGCAGTAACGCCTGACTCTCACCTAGGAACCTATCTTTATTATATTCCTGATTTTCATTTCTCATACATTTTATTACAAGTTGTGTTGTTTGATTTTTTTTTTTCTTGTTGACATAAAGAATTACTCCTGTATGGACTATTTCATTCGTGTTCTCTATCATAAATGAAACTTGTTAGATAAAATTTCTTGCACTTTATTTGCAGTTCAGAACAATTCACAACCCAACTACAATTGTTTCAAAAGCTAAAGATGTGGAAGGATTGCTGTGATAGAAGAAAATTGTATGCCACTCTTAGATAACATGAAAAAAAAAATCAATATTTTACTTTGAGTGGCATAGTATTCAAGAAGTGTTGTTAAAAATATTTAAGTAGTGGAAATAAAAAAGAAAGTATTGTGTTTTGATGTAATGAGGAGTGAGAACCCTTAATCTCAATGTGGGAGAAGTGTTGCAAGAAAGTTACGCAAGCGAACAGCAGCGAGAGGATGACAGAGTTGAACTGCAGCACACAACTCTTCCGGAACTATAATTTCTCTTGTTTTCATAGCTTCCAGGAGTTCAATTCGAGCAGAGTTTAAAATTCTTGACTGTGCCCTCATATCATCAGGATCAAAAGATGATTTTTGGAGTTTTTTCATGCGTTCATTTACAAGGTGTCTCAACCCTAAATCGCATTGATGAAGGACACTGGCCATGCAAGCCTGGCGAGATGCCTCCCCTAAATCAGACCAGTCATCTACCGGTTCCACTGGGTTAAGAAGAGCTTTAGATATAATACTCCCGATTTTTTGAACAGTTTCTTCAGAGGAGTAAGGCTCATGTGCAATCAGCAGCAAAGAATACTGTTCCCAAGGCTTACCTTCAGGAGGTTCCATCCTGTCAGCCATTTTCTGAATTACTTCTTCTGGTACTTGTTCTGCTTGGGGTCGCTTTCTATTAAATGCCATAGCAGAAGCGACAGTGCATTCAATGTAGAGCTGGAAGAAACCTATGTTGTGACGTCGAGCAAGCTGGAAATATGAGTACCGCATACTGCTATAATACATGTTATCATCAATTACAATTACTGTTCGCTTTTTAATGACAATGTCCCATTCATAATCCTTTGTTACATATTTATTTTCTGTTCCGCATTTTAAGACAAGCTTGTGTATTTCTTGCTTTGTGTGGATATCTTTCAGCAAGTACATCATCTTTTCTACCATAGTGAGAACTTCTTGTCTTGCATCTCGCCAGTTTCCACTATCTGGATCAGTGCTACACCGATGTGCAAGATCAGCTGTGATCAAATTATCATAACATATATGAATGACATTTAGGGACAGTGTGTCTTCAGTAGCTTCACGTTCAATTGAAAAGTACTGTTTTAAAAATTTAGCTAGTGTTGTTTTTCCACTGCCAGGTAAGCCAACAAGTAGAGCTAAGCAGATATCAGCAGCTGGTTGTGTGCCGGACATTGTTATGAACTGCAAATTACCTTACTATGGTAACTTAACTACAATAAGAAAAATTAACAACAAAAACAAAAATGTTTAGCTTAATAGGCTTTAAGCAGATGAAACTTAAGCTTGACTCTGAGTTTGCTGTTCCAATTGCAGCGCTGCTTGTGCTTGGTTCATTTCTTCAATTCGTTTGTTGACAATCATTGGCTGAAGTTCCACAAAAACTCCCATTATTCTATGATTAACGTTTATATGCTTTCTAACACATAAATCGACACAATTTTCCTAGAGATAGAAAAGGAAAATTAAACAGCAGAAAAATAAAATACTTTTCACTGTTAATGTAGCCCATGCTGTTCTGTTTTACCTCATCAGATGCTAAATCTCTTGAATAAAAATTATTCACACAATGCTGAAAGCAAGTATTTGACATGTAATTGTATACTTGCAAGAAGTCCTTAAACTGCAACAGAAGGAAAACCGGAACACTTAGTTCAGAGAGACTGCGGAGTAGAAGTCAAGGACAACTAGCTATTCTAGTCTCAAGCATGCACCACTCAGGAGGGAAAAAAATCAATATAGCCACACCATATACTGAAATAACCGCTGCACATTTAAATAAAATTTTTAAAACTTCTTGAACTTTTATGTGAAAAAGAAAATAACAACATCGACGTTACCTGAAAAATGTCTTTTTAATTAAAAAATAGCCTTTGTTAGTGGCTGGAAAGATAAAGAACCCAACCAAATATTTTATTAATTAAATTACAGACTTGCATTTTAAAATCTTAAATATCACAGTTACCAATACCTAACGTGCTGTAAGGTTAGAACTACTCAATGGTAACTTTTTGCAGACTTTCAGAAAGTTAACATTCTTTTTATGACAGAAAGGCAGCATGAAACAACCTCAGCGAAACTAAAGTTACTCACATTTCTCAAGGCATTTTGTTCCATGACTTAAACAGATAAGATCTAGGTATGCGTCGAGGAAGTAAGTTTGTTTCTCTTTTTCCCCCTTTACTGAGCGTGTGGGGTTAAGAGGGTGGGTTGGGGTTGGTGGGTGGGTGGTGAAGGGGTGGAAGGGGTTGGGGGGCATGGATAAGGCAAGCGCTGCAGCCAACTGTTGTCTGATGCAGAAGAGGGAGAGCCCCTCTTGAACGCTCTTCAGACGGCTGTGAAGATGAAGTTTCAGTTGACTGGAAGCATCATTTGTGTAGGCGGCATTCACGGTTTTATGGAAGGCGAATTAAATTAGTCAGGTATTCATCATTTACTTCAATTCTTTTGGTTGCAGGGTGTGGTTACCTGTAAGCTCAAGAAAATAGTCCCTACCATCGTGATGGATTATCTTGTAATTTAACCACCGCGTAGCTGTAAACCGAATACCAAATAAATTATAAAAGTTTATCGTTCAGTTCTAGGCATTTGCTATGACAAGACAGTTACGTTAACTGGAGCGGCTCGAACGGAGGGGAGAGGGGAAGGGAAGGGGAGGGGAGGGACAAACGCAGACAAACGAACGCTAGGCGTTAGTTTGGTCGTTTGTCGTCACGTTCATTAACCACTACATCAACAAGTGGTTGTCTTGTGTTTACATTCTGAATTTAGTTAATGATGTGGGCAGGGTACTCAAATAGCTACTGCGACTGTTGTGTAGGGAATGTCTTAACTCCAATTTTTCTGTTAGAATCCTAGAGTCATTCAAACTGTTCTGTTGCTTCTCACCGACATGATGTCATCGCGCAGACCTCTGAATGTTCTCTTTCTTGGTTTTGCCATTGGTTTTATTCTTGGCATTTTCATATTGAGCCCTAAAGATCACGTCAGTACTTTACCTCGCCCCAATCGACGAAGTTCATGTGACTCTCCTGAGAAATCAAGTCGATTGTCTGGGAACTATGAATCCTGGTTAGCTAACCAAGGTATTTTGCGAAACACTTTGGACGTTGATGAGTATCTTTATGGACAGAGTCGAAAGCAAGCCGTTTTAGAGGCAGATTTGTTAAAGAAGAAAGTCCACATCATGTGTGTAGTATTTGTTGAGCGGGAGAAGAATGTTATAGCCGCTTCACATACCTGGTTACGGCATTGCAACAATTACGTCTTGTATTATGTTAAGAGACCACAAGACCATCGAGATAAGGACTTTGCTCCGGATTTGGGAGTTAAGAAAATTGAAGCCAAGAGCTCTTGGGATTTCCTTTGCAAAACTATTCTAGACTTGTGGAAAACTAAAGATTCATCTTTGCAATGGGTGCTCTTTGTATCGAGTGACATGTTTGTTGTTCCTGAAAATCTAAGACGCATGGTTGCACATCTAAATCACAATGATCCCTATTATTTTGGCCATGCACAAACGCTATGGGGACAACCGTTCAATGTAGCTCTAGCAGGATATGCTTTGAGCCGAGGTGCTGTAAAACTCCTAGCAGACAACTTCACATCAGAGTCTTGTCCTACTGGTGGCAAATATTGGAAGAAGGAAGATTATTATCTTGGTACAGTTGTGCAGTTGCAATTTAATTTAGTTATGAAAGATTTAATTTGGAGAAATATTAATGAAGGTAATTTTATTTGTTATGCAGGGAAGAATCTGGAAAAGTTGTGCATTTTACCAAGTGACACACGAGATGATTCTAAAAAAGGGCGCTTTCATGGCTATAATTTGAACCAGCTGCTTTTCTCTAATAAACTGGCCCTTATTGCATCTTATTGGAAGGACAGCGTCTATCCATCAACTGAGGTGAGTATATATTTTTTTTTATAAAACTTTTTTTTGTAAAACTTCTGAAAGCAACAATAACGTTTTTATTTTTTGTGGCAGGGCAAAAATTGTTGCAGTGACTTATCTGTTACATTTCAAGGGACTGAAGCTGACAAAATGTACATGTATGATTACATAATCAACCGATTGCGTGTCTTCACCCATGGGATTCACGGCAATCGACCTGCACCAACTCCTTATCCTCCTGAACATGCAAGTTACAGACAATGTTTATGCTTGATTTTGTATCAAAGTATAGCCATTTCATTTTCTTTGTGTATTTTCTAGGTTTGGCAGGAATTTATGAAAAGCCGAGGATATTCATCTGTTTCAAACGTCTCCTCTAGGCAGTATATCAATGCTTGGAAGGCTAAGATAAATGAAGATTTGATCAAAGCAGGCTTCAAGAAGAAAAAACATGTCTGGCGAGGCATAGATTTCCATGGGGATGGGCATGGGGAAGTCATCCCTCTTCCATTTCAGGTTGACACTGTGCTGGACACAGAATAATTATACTTACCTAGTCCCCCTTGTTAAAACTGCTCTGACTTAATTTAGTGTGTTCTTTCTCAACTTAGAATCTGTAAGGTGACTTAAATTTTTATAATCTAAATTCTAACAGATCTCTTTGTGATATAAGTTACATACCTTGCTGTGATAAATTAAAATTGTGAATTTCATCTTAAGATCTTTGAAAGTTTTGATCTGCACACCCTGAAGAAGATATTTTGTGTGCCATCTGTTTAATCAAGAGTCCGTCCAAAGCCTTAAAAAGTATGACTCTTATATGCCCTCCTTGTTAAGTATTTTGTATTGTATTATGGTATTTATATTTTAGGGTGTGTTTTTACATCCATGCACTTGGTTGTTGAAAGTCATAGTATTGCTTTCTTGCATCTCAAAATAATGTCTGTTATATACTCACCTTTTAATGTTAACATTATATGAAATTAAGTAAGGCCAGATGTATTGGTAATTTTGGACTGTTATGATATTGTATATATGTTTATTTTCTATGTAAGTCTAACAATATTTTATTATTATAGAACAGAAAAATGTCAGAAAACAGGTTTGGTAACTCACTGCACAAATAAAACTGCCAGATTCATGCAAGCTAATCTTCTGGTATGTTTTATTTTGGTCATCCTATTTCATTAATTGTGAAGAAAGCTGCAAAACACACAATAATTTAAGAACATAGTCAAAACTTTGTGAAAACATCTTGAGTGCATATATTCTAAGTCATAATTGCTTATTATATTACTCAAGATTGATAACTATGTACAGCACCACTCAGCTTTTGTCATAAAGGCACCAAACATGGCCCTTGATAACTTACTTAATTTCTAGCCAATTTATAACATTACATATAATTTTTTTCATTTCCAAATGAGGTACATGTTGATAAAAGGGTCAAAAAAAGTTATGCATACTCTACAAACAGTAACAGGTTACCCTTTTTTAAAAGTAGGATTATTTTAGACTTTAACCTGTATTCTGTTCACTCTTGTGGTTTACTGAAAGACAATTTCACAATGATTAATAGGCTCAGTTCAATGATTGAACCCTGCTTATCAAATGCTCATCAACATGCATATTTCTCAAACTGAATTTGTGAGAGCGAGATGCTGTTGATTGTTTTACCTCTAACATAACAAAGAGAAAACTGACTCAGTGTTTTAATTACAAAAATGTTACAAAACACTATTTGTTCCCAGCACCGTCAGTGTAGAAGTATAATTGTTGCATTGCAGTCATTTAAGTAAAAGAAATCTACATGAGTGTAGAGATGAGCTTTAGAACAACCATGTTGTGGTATCAATTATCACATTTTCAAACCAAAGTTCTAACAGTTTTGTTTTCTATTTGGAAGATAACTGAACATTAGCAAATTTTTTTGGTAAATTTGTCTGGATTTAAGTTGCTGACAGTGATGTAACACTATGAAAATTAAAATATATACTGAACTGCAATGTAGTAATTGTCTCATAAAAGTTATTTGTAAACATTACAAATTTACAGTGACAGGATTTTGGGAGTATTTAAGCTATAGTACTGTACAAGATTTTACATCACAAGAATATGATTATGATGTAAACGTTGTATGATGGGAATCACAGAAAACAAATTAAGAAAAAATTAATAGCATAAGCAATTTTACAATAATGTTGAATTATTTATTAATAGACCAACAGGATTGAGAAATTCAGTGTGTATACAGAGTTCACGAAACGCAAGTGTGATTTTCACGCCATAGGCGTGATTCTTACACTTCGTGTATGCTGCACGCAGCGAATCAGGAACCCCTGGCTTGAGAATCACGCTCGCGTGTTAGCGAACTCTGTATCCAACATTACAGTCTTATACTTATGACTTATAACTACATATGTTGATATTGACAATTTTCAAGAATTGTAAATAAACAGAACAAATATATCGGTTGCAAATAGCATAAGAAAGACATACTTTACAATGACATGCATGAGTGATAGGTAGAAAAACGTCTGATTCTTCCCTTGAATCCCTTTTACAAGGCAAACTATTCGTATAAATTAGTACTTGAAAGACGGGCAAAAACAATCAAAAATCGATATTGAAAGCAGATGATATAAATTGAAGGATAGGTCTGTGTCCTAATTTTCTCTCATATTTTGCTGTCATTTGTTTATGGCTGTTTGTCCGTTTGTTACTTGCTATCTTGGAATTCGGCGGACTAGCGGCATGGCGTAGAGGAGAAGATAGGGGGGGAACGCCGGCCGACATCAAATGCCCCTTACTTTTGCACTCCGCATGAAAGTACAAGCAATGACACATTTGTCGTGCTATTTCTTATTATACTCATATTATTTCTTATTCATTTCAGTTTTGTGAAATGTTCCCAATGTATCATCTGCTAAAAAGAGAGTCGTCGTACGTGTCATCAGGTGGACAAGTGGCAGTGCGATTCGCAGGAGGAGACACTTTCATGAGAATTGACACTTGGACGAAACCAGGTGTGATCCATAGCCCCGCGACTCGGCTGCCGTGGCAGTGGGGCCCGGCCCCAGCGGGGGCGTGAGTGTGAGATCCTTTCTACGCCGCGGGGGTGGCCGGCGGAGCGGGCGGAGCGGGCGGGCTGGACGATGGCGGGGATGGCCGCGGCCCGACGATTGCTCCGGCCCGTCACTCGGCACGCGTCGTGCCCCTCAGGAACGGAGAGATGATGTCCAGCGGCAGCGGGAAGATGATGGTCGAGTTCTTCTCCGCCGAGATGGTGTTGAGAGTCTGGAGGTAGCGCAGCTGCAAGGGAAAAACAGTCGTGGGAATCGCCGTGAGTGGTGGGTGAGCCAAGGCGTGCTAAAACGCAAAAAATAATAAATGACCGGGAATGATTGAAAACGTGGGTACAAGAGGATAAACTTTAAACGGAATTGATGGAAAGCGGGGGCTACCTGGGCTAGATGTGTCTTTGTGCACATCTCAACAAGATACAAATTTGTACCTACGTCACCACAAAATACAGCATTTGTAACTCCGAACAGACGAATTAGTATTCGATGAAGATGTGCTGAAAGACACATCCAACCTAGGTACAAAAATTGTCTCTTCCCATTTAGAGTGCAGGGTGGGGCGGGGAGGGCGCCTGCGGAGCACAGGGTAGGCAGACCCGCAACACGGCTGCGTGTGGCGCCGGCCTACCCAGCCGGCTGCGGGCGCCTTCTACCGCAGCCACGCCGACGCCCCACCTTACCCCACTGGCCGCCCCGCTCCGCTCCGCACAGCTCAACCCCAGCCTCGGGATGACATCGCCACAAATTACCGGGTGAATGCGCTTCATTGTCACACTGTCCCTCCAATGGCAATGAAAGTACTACCTTTTGTGGCAATGACCATGCAATGGCAATAAGACAAAAGTAAGACCTTTCCAGCGGCAATGATGGTTCATTGCCAGTCCAAAGGCAAAATTCATTGCCAATTTTGGCAATGAGTGGATGTCAGTTTGTGAACTTTTTCTAAGTTATTGGCTATTCAGTCATTGCCATATTGTGGCGTTGAACG